AGTGTCCTGCACTTCAGTCTTATAATTTGTAAAACAGAGCTAAAAATATTAGCCTTATAAGGTTGCTGTGAAAACTGAATGATGGCTATAAAGCCGCTTAGCACAATATTTGTATACACTAAGCTGTAAGTAAAAGTTAGCTTTTACTGTCATCATCATTATTTCTAGACTGTATTCATTTAAAGGATTCATTAATGAGTAAATAATCAGTATGTATTACCAAAACAGGAATAGAAAAATTTCCATGAGCCCCCAAACATAATACTATATCTTCCAGCTGTTTCCTGTCTGTCTCCTCTTAATCTAGGATATTTATTTCCCAGAACTGTACCAAACACTGCTTCCCTCCCGGGTCTGTGGGAGAGGTGGGTGACAGAAGTTCTAGACCATTGTGACAGGGTAAGCAGGTGGTTACTGTGCTCTATCTGACCAAACTCAAGCTGTGTGTGAAACACATCACTATGGCTCCCAGGAAGGAGATGTAGATGGATTCTCTGGGTTGGGGTGAGGGGGTGTTTCTAGACTTGCAGGTACTATCTTGAGGGTATGTAGATGTGAGAGACAAAATAAAGGAGATCATGTTCACTGTTAACCCTTTGGCTGAATGTCTAGTGTTAACCCTTGGAAAACAAGAGAGAAAAGACTGTATGCCTTACCCAGTTAGAACACAGAGGCCTCTTACCTTCTATTGAAAAAGAGGTGTTTTATCAGGTTAAAGAAACCGAATTACCCACCTCTCTTTCCTTTTTCTTTAATGCCAATCTTAAAAATATTTTTCCAGTTGTAGATATTTATGATTTGGTTCTCCATACCGAGGTTCACAAAGGGCATTTAAGGGCTGAAATTGTTACTACCACCAGATGCCAGATGCCCCTGGTTGTATGAAAAATGGCAATGCAGAGAGGAGGCAGAGAAGCACTCTCCATAAAAACACTGGGTTGGTACCCATGCTCAGCACAAGCCACTGATAAGAAAGCAGGGTCGTTCCTAAAGGGAACTAAATGCAAACTTGCCAGGTACTGTAGATCCCCTGCAAAGATAACGGTAAACAGTCCTCCCACGCCTGTGTGCACACTCTGCTCCTCAACCTAGAGGTGGCATCTAGCTCCCCTAGCCTTGAATCCAGCTGGACTTGCTTCGGCCAACAGAATGTGATAGAAATCATACTTTGTTCCAGGCCTAAGCCTTAACAGCCCTTGCTGCTTCTGTGTTTGCTCTCTTGGACATTGGGGCTGGACTCCTGAATGACAGGAGAGCACCTTGGAGAGATGGGGGCCTTGTGGATGAGGATCAAGGCATTCTGGTCAACAGCTAGTACCAAAGTCCCAACTGTGTGGAGTAAGGCCACCTTGGACCTGTCAGTCCCAGGCAAACCACCCCAGCTGATACCACAAGGGGCACACATGAGCACTTCCCAAATTTCTGACTCACAGAGTCGAGTAACAAAATAATTGCTATTTTAAGTGACTAGGTTTGGAGATGATTTGCTATGTAGCAATAGAAAATTAAAACAGGCATCTTATGGCTCTCTCTGTCTCTCTTTCTAGAGTGGCTCCCATCACTAGATGCCGGGGTTTCCACCCCTTTTTTTCAGCATTATGTTCTATTTATTCCTAGAGCCCTCCTAATGATTATTCTGAAGCACAAAGTAAATACCTTATGGAAAATGTTAACATGAGAGAATACTAGGCCAGTTGCTATGGGGGATAAACACTTCAGCTCTGTAGGGGCTTGTTTCAAGCAAGAGGGTATATACTAACACATGAAAAGGTGCTGCCGGAAAGTACTTCTTCAAGTGGGGTTTCAGGATTTTGTCTATCTTTTGCCACTAAAGACTGGACAGAAGAACAGTTACTCCTAGATGTGTGTGTGTGTGTGTGTGTGTGTGTGTATGTTTCTATTATAGAAGTTAAAGCCAAGTCTGAGGAAATGCTTGGTAAATATTAACTAAGACCTTAAATACTATGAAACTTTAAGTTTTAAAACCTTTTATTATGTATTTTCGATGCAAGATCTCACTGTCACCCAGGCTGGAGTGCAGTGGTGCAATCATAGCTCACTATAACCTTGAGCTCCTAAGCTTAAGTGATCCTCCCACCTCAGCCTCCCATAGCGATGTGCCACCACATCCAGCTGATTTTTCATTTTTATTTATTTATTTGAGATGGAGTCTCACTCGGTTGCCAGGCTGGAGTGCAATGATGCCATCTCAGCTCACTGCAACCTCCAACTCCCTGGTTCAAGTGACTCTCCTGCCTCAGTCTCCCAAGTAGCTGGGATTACAGGCATGTGCCACCACGCCCAGCTAATTTTTGTATTTTTAGTAGAGACAGGGTTTCACCACATTGGCCAAGATGGTCTCGATCTCCTGACCTCGTGATCTGCTCACCTCAGCCTTCCAAAGTGCTGGGATTACAGGCATGAGCCACTGCGACCAGCCCATTTTTATTTTTCTGTAGAGATGGGGGTTTTGCTATTTTGCCCAGGCTGATCTCAAAATCTTGGCCTCAAATGTTTCTTCACACCTTAGCCTCCCCAAACACTGGGATTAAAGGTGTCAACCATCCTGCCTCGCCAACATTGTAGATTTTAAAGAATATGTCTCTGACAGGATCCTTCTGAGGACATAAAATTGCTCTGGATCTGACGGCAAAGGTTAAGTTCTATTGGCAGGGAATTTAGACAGAGTGTTATCTCTGGAAAGCCAGAGGCCAGAGCACAGCCGTGAATCCTCAGAATTGCTGTGAGGTGAACACCATAAACTTCCAGAAAAGACTGAGGGAGCATCTCCTTGCTTTCTATCAGGCTAGGCCTGAAGCTGCACTGAAAAAGGAGTCAAGATGGCTTATTCCAAGTTGCTCTCACAAAAAAGACAAACACAATGAAGAAGAAGGTCTACCTTCCCAGAGTAATAAACATGGTACTGTTCTCAGAAGTCATATATCGTGACTTTGGCAATATTCTATTGATCACATAGGCTAGCTCTATTCAGAGGTGGAGGGCGCTACACAAGAGAATGAACACTGGTGGGCAGGATCAGTGGGAGCCATGTTGGAGGCTGGCTGCCACATTCACCCAAAACCAACGTACTAATGCCTGCTGAGGAACAAAACAGAATGTCCCTGCTTTCCTGAAGCATACATGCTTAGAGAGGTGAGAAAAGCAACAGATCTAATCAGTAAGTAAATTATATTACATACTCTGTAATTTGTGAAGTCCTATGTGTTAAATAAAATTTATAGGAGGCCATTGGTTTGGACTGGGCTCCTGCACTAGGCTCAACACACCAAACCAAAATGCAGTCACGCCTGCTGAGGTTCTATACCATCAGGCCAGAAATAAGTTGTTTGTCTGAGCTTCCAAGAAATGACGAGAGAGTTAACAGCCAAATCCCCAACAAGTCAGTTTTAGTCAGCACATAAAGAAGTCCCCTCTGCCTTAACTTTCATAAGGAAAGTAACTTTAAAACAATTAATCTCCTTTTTGTTCTCTTGTTTAGCCCTTTTCTGTCTAAAGCCAACCTCCTCTGCTCAACTCACTGGAACACTCATTCTATTTTATAGAATGAGCTGTTGCCCAATTCTGGAATCGCAAATAAGAGTGAATTAAGATCTTTAAACTAAGGTTGCTGTGATTTTGTCTTTTGATATATGAAAACAGATAAAGCAGGAGAAAAGGAAAAGGGAATGCTGGAAGTTGGGATTATAATTTTAAACAGAAAGATCTAGGTAGACTTCACTTAGTACACCTGATGGGAGTGAGGAAACATGCCATGTGGTTTTATGGATGAACAGTGTTCCAGCCACTGGGAACAGCAACTATGAAGACCTGGAAGTAGGAATGTGCCTGTCATGTCCAGGAAACAGCAAGGCAGAAACAAGATGTTACAGGAGAGATGCAGGGGATCAAATCAGGTAATAACAGTCAGAGGACAGAGACTACGTGGGCGAACGTATGAAATGGGAAGCCACTGGATAGTTCTTAGCAGACAACTGATACTATCTGACTTAACATTTAAAAAAAATCTCATTCTGGTGGCTGATACCAGAATTGGCAGGCCGAGGGTGGAAGAAAGGTAACAAATTAGGAGGCTCTTGTAAAAAGTCAGACAAGAGGTAGTGGTGCTTACAACATTATCACTGTAGGTGGTGAGGCGTGGTTACTCTGAATTTATTGTGCACGATTAATTGCCATTCTAGGCAAAAGTTTTTATTTAAGAGGAACAGCTTTTTTTATTATATCCCAGATATGTTGCTGCTAAATGGTGCTTTAGGGAACCCCACACAAGTTCTGAGGAACTTCATAGGGATTTGCTCGTAAGAGCAATGAAGTGGGTAAGGGGACTGAAGCTTTAGGTGACTAAAACTGTCCCCTCCCCAGTTTTATAAGGGTGGCTTTGTGTTAACATTCTTTAAATTGTAAGATGGGGAAAACCTTCAAAAGAAAGACTAGGAACCCCAATTCCCCAAAAGAAAAGACAGACCATAAAACACACACACACAAACTGTATAAAAAACACAACACCATTTATAAAACTGAAAGACAAACTAGAAGTAAAAATATCTACAACACACATGAAGACAGTTTAATATTTCTAAAATTTAAAAAACTCATAAATTCAAAAGGAAATCATCAAGTAAGAAATGAGCAAAGAGTATTATCAAAACGAGGCTCATAATAGTACCTCCTTCATTGAATTGTTGTGAGGATAAAATAACAATATATACATCAGGTGTTTAACATAGTTCCTGGCTCAATAAATTTTACCCACCACTGCCACCACCATAACCACCACTGCTGTCATCATAACTACCACTGTTGACACTTTGCCACTACCTTTGTGTTATCATCACCACCATCACTACCACCACCAGCAACTTCATCATCCTGTCAGTGTCAGGGCCATTAGCAATGGAAATCTGAGTCAACTCTGAAGGTCAATTCCAATGCAGCTTCCTGCCAAGTACATTCTTCACTGCAAGTGACCAATTACGTATTACCTTTTCATGGTTTTCTATTAGGATCTCAATGACAATGTTCTGAAATTTGATGTCCATAATGGCTGCTACTGTTTCTTCCTGAGGCCTCAGCAGAGTGGGTCCAAACACGACACCAAGGTTTGCCACCGTCATCAAATTCTGCTTGTGGTTGTTAGCAACACTGGGAGGAAGGAAAAGAAAAGGTACCAATGAGAGAAATTGTGTACACAGAGATACCAACCACTCTGTACCCTTCCTATCTTGCTATCTAGAGACTCCTCATCTGTGGAAGCCAGAACTTGGGACATTCTCAGATGCCACAGGAATCAGAAAATCTACCATGTTTCGGAAATCTTCAGCATCCAGGCTATTTTCCTATTTCAGGATATGACACTCCTTATATCATTTCCATTTTGCCTGAAACCACCAACAACCCAAAGCAACTATCTGCCAAATTACTAATCTTTGAACATCTGAATCTCTGTTTTGCAAGTCCAGGTAACTGCTAATCCCTCTTAATTGCAATTTATGTACTTGGCTGCTGCTTAAACCACTGTAATCATTAGCATTTTTCTCTACTGCAAATGTAAAATCTCTTGATGGCTTTAACACATTTGCAAACATAAGCACAAAATTGACATAATTTTTTAAATGGGCAGATCTGGATATTTAAAACCAAGTAAGGAAGTTCAGCCCTTTAAAGTATTAAAGGCCCACCAGATTAAACATGAGGCTCACATTAAGTGAAATGTGGCACAAACAGAAATAAAAATGCACTAGTGTATATTTATCTATATGGCTATGTTTATATTGTCACTTATACTCAAGTCTAACAAACACACAGGGTCAACAGCTGCTAGGTCTGACTAATTTGCTAAAGATGTATGCATATTTTTGAATAAACGACTACTCAAAAGATGTATCTGAACTCCATACCCAGGCTACCATGACCTAGCTATAAAACTCAATTGTTCACTTGCTGGCCCCATGTGTAAAAACATACAAATCATCTACTGGCCACAAATAAGTTAAAAGTTAATGCCATTCAGTTTTGTTGAGAAAATATCAAGAGCTTCCCTAAATCACCTGCTACAAGAAGGAAGCTATTCATTACTAACTTAAAACCAGAGAGAAATTGGGTAGAGATCGGCAGTTTGCACACACCTACCTCCCTAGCATTTAGTGCTATTTATATGGAGTATTTTTTCACATAGTTCTATAAATGCCTGCACTGTTTCTCTGGTATACTTTTTTTTTTTTTTTTAAAGAAAAGAGATTTTCTGGATCTTAAGTGCTGGTTTTTAAACTAAGCCTTTATTGAAATACTACATCAACCAATTTTGTTATCAGATATGTACTTTTCTATAATTTTTTTTAGGGCTGAGAGTTTAACTTTCTCCTCTAACAGTGGGCATAGCATGGTTAGATCTATGAAACTTTAACTGTGGTGCAGTCCACCTAGAAAGATAATTTGCTTTTTGATTGCCAAGCAACACCTGCGGCAGGGAGAGTGGCCTGCCTCTGGTCCATAAAGAATATTTCATTAACATTTTCTTAGTTCTTGCTGGTTTTATTTATAGTTTTCCATTCTACCCAGAATCACATCATGCTTCCAGTCTGAAAAAGTGAATGCAGATGGTCAAATTCTTACCTGGCAAGGGGGAGAGACTTTGGTTCTGTGCCTTAGTCAATCAGCAAGTATGCATATTTACAAGCTGCTTTTAACATCACTCCTTTCAACATCAGCTCCTCTGTGTGGGAAGGGAATTCTATGTCCTTATACTTCCCCTCCCAAAAGAGCTAAGTCATTAAACTTGCCCTCTTGTCACAAAAGTCCCTTGTGCAAGTGAATCAACAAGCTATTTTTGTATGAAAGTAGCTTCAAATTGTAGACCAATATAAAAATACATGGTTTGGATGATGATCATTTTTCCCTGTTGTGCTCCTCCACACTATGTCTGACTACAGCAACAGCCTCCTAACTAGGGTTCCTGACCCAAGAACCTCTAACTTCAGCTTTATCCTCCCTGCTACCAGCAGTTCCATCTAAAACTCAGCTCTCACACTTCCCCTGGCGAGAACACAATGCCATGGCATTCAGCGTTTAGCAATGCTTTTATTGTTTAATTGTTCGGATAATAACGACTATAAACCTTTAGTGGGCCCCACTGTTTTTCTTTCTTACTTCTTTCTTTTTTTTTTTTTAAACAAACAAGATCTTTCTCTGTCATCTAGGCTGGAGTGCAGTGGCATGATCATAGTTCACTGTACCTTCACACTCCTGGGGTCAAGAGATCTTCCTCTCTCAGCCTCCTGAGTAGGTAGTACTACAGGTATGCATTGCCACACCTGGCTTGTTTCTAAATTTTTTGGTAGAGACAGAGTCTTGCTATGTTACCTAGGCTGATCTCGAACTCCTGGTCTCAAGTGATCCTCCCAGCTTGGCTTCCCAAAGTGGTAAGATTATAGGTGTGAGCCACTGTGCCTGGCCTGCCTGACTGTTTTTAATACAAAGTCTGAACTCTTATAAAACAGCATACCTTTCCTCAAATCACTGCTAAGCCTTTCTGTGCCACCTCCCAGCTTGGGTCCCTGGGCAGAGTAACTCAATATTTCTAAGCATTGGGTTCCTCATCTTTAAATAAAGGAGAGGTTGGGTGAATAACATACCTACTTCATGTGAATGTTGTACAGATTAAATGTGATAATGCATGGGAAATGTGGTAATTATCACACTTACTCACTTTTCACTCTCATTCCACTTCCATACATCTCTGCCTTTGTCCCTATCATTCCTCTGCTTGGAATGCTATTATGCTGCGTTGTTCGTTTGGCAAACTGTTAATATGCAAGGCTCAGCTCAAACGGTCCCATTCCTTTCTGTACCTTCCTCTCACCTTTCTCCAACCCTCTATACCCAACAAAGGCGGAAGTGTCAGCCTGCTCCTGCATTCATTGCACTGCGCTGTCATCCCTACCAAGGCCTGAGAAGAGGAAGTATGATATTTTATTTGGTAGCACCAGTGCTGAGCACACCGCTTGGCACAGGAGATGCACAATGAGCGTTCACTGAAGTGTTAAAAGATGAGGGGAGTTTCTGAGTAGGCATAAAACAATTACTCCCAACCCAGCTATTTATTCTTAAAACTTTAAATTACTGTTGATGATTTTTGGAGAATGTATCTCAACTATCCCAACCTCCCTTTTTAAAGTCTCGCGCTATGTTTCATTTCTTTGACTTAATTAAAGAGCAATAATTACTCCTATTTGCAGGCCCCAACGCTCAAAGGATTTGGAAAAGAAGTATAGTAATTCTGGATTAGCAACTCTGAATATAAATAGGCTTGAGGTTACCCAGCATAATTCATTTCCCTTTTAATGATCCATGTTATTTTAGAACTTAAAAAACACATTGATCTAAGTCTAAGAAAACTTTTTTTGGCGGGGAGGGGGGAGCTACACCTTTCATTATTAATGACCATTATCTTTCGGCACACTGAAGTAATAAATTGATCTGTCACTTGATTATTACTGCTCGCAACTTGGTACAGCTATGTTCATTACTCCAGAATGAATTATTAATGGCTTGAGATCTCTATGTATCCCGGACAGAAAGGCCTAGACCTCAGCCTCTGCTGGCACCAGCCATCTATTATAGCTGGATGAATTTACAGGTGTGTGCAAAATAGGCTGGCAGAGCACTGGGGAGCCAGTCTAGCAGAGGCCATGGGACTCGTTCATTAGCAAGATCTATAAAACATGGAGAACCTGCTGGTTTGTTAAATTGAGCTGTCTGAGCTCCTCCTCACACAGCTCAGAATGTCATGTTGAGTCTTGACTTAAAATCCACACAGAGAAGTTACTTTCACACTACATACTGCAGTGAAGGAGTCTTTGACACATGTCTTTCAAATCCCTCTGTCCATGTGGACTGCTCTGCTGTGGTGTCTTTTGAAAGAACTGCCAATTCTATCATTTGGATGCTGCAGAGAAACAGTTTTGCATGTGATATTCACTTGGAAGAGACCCAGTTTCTTCTGTGATCATCAGAAATGCTGTATCCAATGAGAAGCAGTGGATCTCCTGAGGGGCATGACTTCAGGGCAGTCGTTGGGGGTGGGAAGGTATATGTACCCCACGATCCAGGGAGTTGCCTCTTGAACTAGATTCAGTGAGGAAAGCGCATGTTCCATGAAAATGGCCTTGGCAGAGGGGCCTCTTGCCACCTTTGCTTCAAAAGGAAATAGATGGAGACTCTGATTTGGTCTGATATCCTTTGAGGGGCAGAAGGAGGTAAATCACTTTCAGATAAAGATGTTGGTGGGGATGGTGATAGAGGGAGCATTATGAAGGGAATAGATAGCAGCCAATCCTTTTGGGGCCTGTAAGGCAGAGAACACCCATGCTGTCATAGGGATTACATCTGTTTTCCTGGAGTTTAAATGAGAGTCAGAGCTCTATAAGTGTTAAGTCGTACTTTAAAATATGAGACTGGTCCTAAAGTACTCCAACAATACATGAGTTTATTGTTGGGTTTGCAGATAGGTTTCATCTTGAGGCCGAGAGTAAAATACCAGACTGGTCCTGAAGTATTCTAAAGATACATAAGCTTAACGTAGGGTTTGCAGATAGGTTTCATCTTGAGGCCTAGAGTGCTATGTCAAAGAACGTCAAAGCAGAGTACCAGCTCCACTGGATACAACGTAGTGACAGATTCGCAATGAACCATGGGTTGGATGGGTGGAGCAACAGCCCATCCCACTTACCCACCATCCCCTACTTGTTTGCTTCAGCTTCCAATATTAAATTGGAATTAGGCTTACAGTGTTTTAGACTTTTTAAACAAGCTACAACAACTTTTTATATTTATCTGACCTTCATAATAACTGTATAATAGTAGCTCTCAAACGTTCTGACAATGACCCAAGGTAGGAAGTATATTTTATCAAGCAATACGCACATAAATAAACAGACAGGCACACATCCCCACACCATATCAGAAACAAAAGTTTTCAGGAATAGTAAGTATGATACATTCTGATATTTTCTATTCCCATGCTATCCTAGTCTATGTTTATCCAATAAATTGTTTTCATGAGCCACTTATATGCCATGAACTACTATTTCAGAAACACTGCTATAGAGGCATAAAGCACAAGTATTCTCTCCAATTTGCAAATT